TAGCAGCAAAGTTGTGCCCTAGTTTGCGTGATCATGTAGATTAGTGCTTTCCTTGCATAGCAAGACACTGGATACATTTCCTGTAAGTCAGTTATCTCTCTGGCCTTTGGAGTTGATTAAGCTTTTGCTTCACCTATTGAGTTAGTTAACTTATAGATGAGAAATTGGGTGTTGTGTCTTTTTGGCTGTTGCTCAGGACGGTACTGGTGTGCTTTCTGCCACTGAGTTGTTCTTTCTCTACCTTTCTGTCTTCAGTTCTCTGCAGCCTCAGTTGTGCCTGCTGCATGGCTGCCCGCTTGCAGAAGCTCAGGGTTTCCAGCTCCACCAGTCTGTCTTCCTTGAGTATTACTGCTAACACCCCACACTCCCCCAGTGCTGCAGCATTTCACTTACAATCTTGTGGGCTACAAACTAATTTCATTTGGCATCTGGAGGTACTGTTTCCATCATAAGGTAGAAGTGGGGGGTCTCCTCTGGGCCTCTTGGGCTTAATCTGCTCTTTAGCAGCCTTTGTTCTTGAATTTATAAGTAAACACTAATGTCATATCTGTGTAAGAGTAGATACTATTTTCCTGTGAACTACTGATGATTTAAATAATGTGTGAATATACAAGTATCCTTTTTAATAAACATCCTGAACTTGACAATTTAGTTTCTGATTTTAGAATGTTAAACTGAGTCTCTAATGAAGTTTGTTTGCAAGAACTTCCATGAACATTAGACAATGTCTGTCTAATAATTAAAAACCAGAGTTTGTCCAGATCTCAATAGTCTTCCTATATAATATAATGCATCATTTCTTTTCAAAGCATGAGTGTATTTAAAAGGTTATAGTGGAGGCCCCTTAGAAGGAAGTTGTAGAATAGATGTGGCTTTTGTTTTTGCTGTCTCCATTCCACCTTCCTTGTGCTTGTGAAATTCAAAAAGGAAAGATTTGTGAAAGTTAAAAGGGGCAGCTTCAAATTCTGAAAAATCTAGAAGATGCATAGAAGTCTGACATGCATAGGAAACTAAAAAGATGGATTTGAAAACAAGTAAATGTTAATATCTTGATGTCTTCCTCAAAATTGAGAAGTAATGAAAGTAAGTTACCTCTTCAATGTTAGCAACCAAATGTCGGTGCGGTATTAACCAACACATAGTGACAGGAATGGGAAAGAAAAAAAATATCATTATGAGGTATGACTGAGGAAGAAAAATGGCAGTTCAAAAACTTAGTATCAGATGAAGCCATCAGAATGGATCCAAGCACACCAATTTTAAATTTGTTTAGTTCTACTCTTGGCAGATTCAGAAGCGAAAAATGTGGCAGCAGTGAGGTGGTGTGGATGCTGAAACTGTGTAAGGGTTTGTAGTGATTGGGCAAACAGCTGTAGAAAGAATTGGCTGAAGGCTGTCAGGGTGGACATACCCAGCTCAGGAAGTTTCTGAGCAGCAAACTGTTGGATAATAAATTGAGGAAACATTACTATGTACTTATTCTTTATATACCATTTTCCTCTTTTATCTGCTATAGAATACCAAATACGTGCATAGATGGACCTCTGGCCAGACCTGAAATGACTGCTTAAATGTCTTTATGCTTATTTTGAATAGTGGCATCTTAACGAAGTTTTAAACACTCTTTGGAGTCCTCTCCTGAGGATACCAAAGGTAGTGTTTTCTTCAAGGGATTATCCATAAAAGTGTTTTTATTTCTGATGGTGTGTATGTGAAGAATGTGGTTAAATACAAGCCTATTTTTTTCCTGACCATCTCATCCCATGTTGTGCACGGATGTGTAGAATGGGAACGTGCCTCAGGAGGTCAGCTCTTCTTTACCACCTATGCAAACAGTAGCACTTTTTTCAGTTCTATTCCCCTTCTAATGTCTATCTTTTATGTTGCCTTTGTTTGTGTGACAACTGTTTTTCTGTAGGAATTGGTCTGGGACATGCCTATGCCTCTGCAGTTTGTGTTCCTGGGTTGCTATCTGGATCTTTGAAAGAATCCATCCCAGTATCTTCTAAAGAAGTTTGCTTTGCCTTTTTGTCTTGTCCCATCCTGCTCTATCACCATTACAACTATTGGTTCATTCAGCCTTCCCACAACTGTGAAGCTGTTTTGTTGAGGCTTTGTTTGTGGTCAGCAATTTATTTTTCAAACAATGGTGTGGTTGCAGAAGATCATGTCTGCTTTTATTAGATTACCAGGATACTGTTGTGCATATTTGGTCTCTTGCTAAATTACCAGAAATCTTGGCAAAGGTCATACAGGCCCTGTAAATTAACTGGACGTGTGCAAGTTTAGGTTAAAATTTATTTGTGGGGTCAATACTCATCTCACCTGAGATTTTTAGTAAATGAGATGATTAAAACACTTGTATGTCAGAGTTGAGAAATGTGAAGGAGGTTTCCTGAACTGCCTCTCCCATCCTTGAGACCTATGGGTACGTGGCGACTGAGTGCTGCGCAACTATTGATAACGTGGTGGTGTAATATTCAGTCCCCTGCTAAGAATCATTTGAAGTACCAATTCCAAAGACAAAATATCAGGTTCACTTTGCAATATATAAGACCGCAAAAACCGTCTTGATACCCTTCTTCTGCTCCCCATGGCTCTGGAGTACCTTACAGTCTTCAGGCTGAAAGCTCCATTAAGGAGTTTCAGGTTTTCTCTTCTTGGACAGCAAGAGCCCAGTCACAGCTAGATACCCCAGATTAGG